CACTGTGCAGGGAAGCAGAGCTGTTTAAGCTAAAGGATAGTGTTGGCACAAGAACAAATGAATATAAATTGGCAGTGAATAAATTGAAGCTAGAAATTAGTTGCTAACCAGCAGAGGAGTGAGTTCACAGAAGAGCCTTCCACTGGGAGCAGAGGGAGCAGATCACCAGCGTACTTAGAAGACGAAGCTTGCTCCGTTCGTGACCGGGATTATGTGTAGTGGGGCTTGCCACAGCGAGGGATGGGCCTGATGACCAGGAACTCTCCTCCTGTTTCTAACTGTACGTGGACTTAAGGACAAATCTACATCCCCTATGCAAAACATAAATAAGAGTGTTCCCTGCAGGACTTAACAGGTCAGGAACAGCTAATCCCCTCCCAAACCAGCCTCAGAGCTATCCAGTTACTGCCGGACACAATCTCTGCACATTCCCTCTCTGCAGCCCGTGGGCTCCACGGCTCCCTCATGCAGCTGCAGGATGAGCTGTGTTTAGCAGCCGTTCTGCTGCAATGCCTCTTCACTGTTCGGTCTTCATCTCCTACGCAGCAAATGCAGTGGCTCTGCTGGTTTGAGGGACTTTCTGTGGCAGTACAGTCCAAGGGGAGATTTGTGCTAGAAGGTGGCTTAAATGCTGCTTCTGCTTGGTGTCAGTGAGGTTTAGTGAGGAGTTATTTAGCACCTCCTTTTTTAATTTTTAAAATACAGGGAAATAACTGAGAAGATAAAAGTCTAAAATTGTCATTGTATAATTGAAATTAAACCAATTTTTGGCAATGATGATACACTTTCCACTGTGCCACTAACTTACCACATTATACCAATACAGCATGGTCTCTTCCCAGTTTTCTCCTAGCATACACTAGGGTAGCGTGTCTAGGTTAGGAAGCAGAATCAGGAGATTTTCCCAATGTGTTCTGCTTTATCCACCAAATAACACTTTGCTTTCAGATGCAATCTTAGTTGCAGGTGAGAGTCATTCTTTTTCTGTTGTTCCTAACTCATTCCACTGGTATGAAGGGGCTTTCCTCCTGCTGTTTGACTACAGCGAGAGCACGTTTGGCCTTTGTTTATGTATTGAATAGCTAATGGGTACCAAGCAGTCAGCTAGGATATGCTTAGATAATCCTTTTCTTCTAAAAATCACGCAAAGGAGGGAAATAGAACACTAAGATCATTGCAGATCCTACCTCCAGTGGCACCTCACATAATCTGCTACAAGATGGAGTTGCATGTACGGTGTGCATTGATTATATGAGAACATGTATGTTCCCTTCTAAATAGTATTTCTTACCATGTAAGCATTTATGCTTCCAGGACACTGCAGGTTGTGTTTCCCGTTAACCTCTGTTTTTTGAGCTTCCTCAGTAGAGATGACAGGCCAACTTCAGCCTTGATTTCAATGAATTTGGTGGCGTTTTTGCTCTGGAATTGAAATCCATCTCAGAGCTTCCTCCTTCAAAGCCGGGGCATTCTGAGACCAAAATCTGTATTTAGGTCAGCTCCCTCTGTTCATTTTAGGGTATTTTGGAGCCAAATGAATGGCAACATTTTTTAAAGAAAGGAAAACGAGCCAGGACAGACGGAGGTTTGGTAATGAGCATTGAAGTGGCGTGAAAGTGACTGGTATTCTGCAAATGACCCCTGTTTAGCAGCTTTTTGGAGCTGTGTGCAATGGGAGAGAGCTAGCAGAATTCCAGCTTTTAATGGGGGCTTCTTTTTTCAGGTCAGAAATTCTTTATAATACAGAGCTGGTGCTTCAAAACCTTATGTTAGCAAAACTGACACTAGGGAGTAATATCATTGGCTTTCATGCGCCTATTTACTGTAATAAGGATTACCAATGTAAGTAAAACTTGCAGGTTTGGGCCTATAAAATTAAAAGAAAAGCCTTTTCACACCCTGAAACTGCATCAAAATTCAATTTCACCAGGAAAAAAAATACCCTTCTGATCTAGTCCCTGGAATGTGACATTTCATGGATGTAATAAGGTTACAAACAGATTATAAATTGAAACCCTATAAATCCTTATTGTACTGTACCAAAGCTTCTGCTTTGCATAATACTCTTATTCCTGACTGTTCTTTGTTTTACAAGCTCAAAACTATTCATTCCCTTTCATAATAGAGACCAGGGAGCCAAAAACACCGTGCAAAATCCAAAGGTAATTATCTGAGTCAAAGGACCTGAATGCCAGAGTTCACAAACTTCTGAACTTTTCTAATTGCCGTTGTTTGCACAGTGAGACCTCCCTCTTCCTTTAAACATGTTGTAAGTATTGCACATTGTTTCTGCCAAATGATAATGATAAAAAATCCCAGTGTAGATTTAGTTCCTGTTTTGTTTTTGTATAGTTCTGCCTACGTGTCCATAGCAGATGACTGATCAGTTTTCAAATCGTAACTGGAGCAAGTGAGGGCATTTGAATCTGGCTCTGTGTGGTCAGGATTACAAATGCTGTGAATCTCCTTACCTGACAGCACTGCTGGTTTCCGCTGTTGGCCTCTTACTTGTGCTGATTTAATGTCTAGCAAGTGTCTTCTTCCAGACCAGCCTTCCAGTATTTGGGGCACATTTATAGGTCTGCTAAAATACCACCCCGCTGCAAAAAGCAATCGAGCAGCTCACCTAGGAGCTAAAGAAATTACCCACATTAGCAGATGATGTCACAGGCTCAATTCTTCTAGGCTTTACCTGAAGGTGAGCGTCCTCAGAGGGGTTGAATGAGAATGAGATGGCTTTGCAGGGGAGCTCTCAGAGGCCACTTGGAGCACCAGAGCAATGAGGGAAAACAGCGCAAAGAGGGTTTTGATTGTAGGAGGAGCAGAGGGAGTAGGAAAGGAGTGTCAGGATAAGAGAGCTGGGCAGACGAGTATGGAGGGACACAGTTGTGTAGTGACCTGAGGGTGATCACAAGATACTTGACAGGTGAGCCAGTAGAGTGACAGAGAGAGGCGAACGATCAAGTCACCATCCTGGGCAAGCTTTGTCAGATGCTGCAGTGAGCCTGGGCTGGGGAGGCAGTGAGGAAGGGGGTTTTACGCCCATGAGAAAGGCCAGTTTTAGAGGATGCTCTCACTGATAAAGGCTAGAGGTCTGGAGGGCAAGGAGCAAGCTCATTTTCAGGGACAAAGAGAAAAAGTGTCCTATGGAGAATTTCTTTGAAAGAGCATCCATGGTGCCCGAGTGTCCACACGGTGGGAGGTAAAGGGAGGTGCTGTTGTGAACTGATTGAACCAGCCTTGAAGTTTTTGTATCAAATGGAAACCTGTGTCACACACTCAATTTTCATTTCCCTCTTGGCTGCGTAGGTTTAACCAAAAAACTCACAGTCTGTAATGTTTACAGAAAGATTTGGCCAAGAATTACTTTAATGCATTGAGTTTTGTCCCGTTACTTCTTTCTCTTTCAGGAAAGAAGAGTGCACATTAACCTCATTGTACTCTTCTGATGCCATTTCACAGCGCAGGGCATCTGTACACTTTTGGGACAGGCGTGTGTAGTATGAATGGACTAGAGATCTGCACTTGAAACATAAACTCCTGCAGATTACATATTGTATGTTGTCCAGCACATCTGCTCTGTTCCTGCGCTCTGCACCCCATCACAACTTTTAAGAAATGGCAATAAAGTTTCAGAAAGAGAAAAAGAGCAGTCATCTTTTATAGGCAGTGCACATCTGTTTGCCATGGCGATGCCGCATAATTGTGAACATAAGTGATTCTATTTGGTCTTCTGATTGTTTTCAGGACTTGAGAAAAGATCGGGATTATCTTCTTTGTGTTCCAGTATGAACTACTGAGTTTCTGTACAGCTGGCTTTTTCTGTGAGCTACTTACAGAGCAGATACAGATTTCATCCCTGTGCTGTGATCACATATAAACTCTGGAAGGATTTTGTACCTTAATGGAAATAATCGCATTCGCTGAGAAATGCAGCCATCTAGTGGCACAGCTAGCAAGCCGTGATAGAAAGTACAGCAACGGTGAAGTCTCTGAGGCAGGCTTTCCCCAAGAGTTCTGGAGGATGAGTCAGGGCACTTTTGCTGAAATTCCAGCCTTCATAAACCTTTGAAAGCCCAGGTGTAGGTGCTTTTGTTGTTTTCTGAAGCTGTGCAAAAAATTCAAACAGTTAAACGTTGAAAAAACAAACCAGTCTTGAGGCTGGCCCTGATTCTGCTCAGAAACACAATCAGCGAGAATTAAATCCATATTTAAATGCTCTGCTGAACTGGATCTTAATGAAGGGAACAGAGCAAGCTACTTTTCTGGAACAGTAAAGGTACACAGCCCCAGCCTGTCTCTGGATACGCTGATGCAGATGACACTGACTACAGCAAGACACATGCGTGCGTGTCAACAGGCCTGGGGCAGGTGTCTCTCCCAGAGACTTTCAGGCAGAGCTGTACTTGGCAATGGCAAAAGCTGGCTTGATGGATGCTTCTGTGCTCAGAGTTTTTAGTTACTGCAGTGTGTAGGGTGTTGTTTCTGCTGCCACAACTTGTACACTAACCCAATACATTTACTGAAAGAAAATGTGGTGAACTGAAAGTTTTGGTGGAAATGTGGTTTAGCAGTTCTGTTGATTTTTCAGGTTAGAGGACGTGTTTTTAAAGGCCTGATTTTGTAAACCTTGTTTGTGTTGAGTGGCACTTAAGTAAGACTTCCCTGATCCGAGAGAGCATTACTCAGTGTGAATCACGCAAGTGGTGCCGTGCATGAGATTATCCAGGTTCCATTTAACAGCCTGTATCCCTGAGGCCTGATCCAATGCCTGTTGACATCAGTAGAAACAAATTCACGGGCCTTGGTGGACTTCCAATGAGGTCTATAATTTGAACCCCGTGATCGCTTTGGAGCGCAGACAATCTTCTTGCTCTTCTAGTACCGCAGGATCCTGTTTCACACCTGAGCCTCTGGTGCCGTTGCAATGCGAAGTTACAGTAAGGCTGACGACGATGTTACATTTCTGTTAAGTTGTCATCTCTCTTCTACCCGAACAGCATATCAACAATGACCATATACACGGTGAGAAGAAAGAGTTTGTGTGCCGATGGCTGGACTGTTCCCGGGAACAGAAACCATTCAAAGCCCAGTATATGCTGGTAGTCCACATGAGGAGACATACAGGGGAAAAGCCACACAAATGCACTGTGAGTAAAGGGGGCTGAGCTCCAGGCTTGGACGGGGGAGCTGGGGCTGTGCAGGGAGCAGAGCAGCGCAGGTGCTGCATTCCCTGATCTCTTGTCCGTCAGACACTTGTTGAAGAGACTACCATGTCTGCTTCATTATCCAGCTCACCCAGATGACAAGAGCTTTAGGAGAGGGGATTCATTGGATAATTTGGCCCACTTCTTCAAGTTTAAAGTGCAAAGAAGCCCCAAAAGGCATTATTAAACAGGGCTCAGTTTGCTTAATTATTTAAAAGCACTTTCTCTTACAGAGCTACATCTGGGTATTATTGCTGGCCAACAGCCTCCTAATGACTTTGCAATGGATTTCTGTCTAGACGAAGTACACAAATACTGTGCTCTCCTGTAAGAGAAGATTTACATAATGCTGGAAGCATTTTAACTTGAGCTGTGATGGGGTTTGCCTGGGTAAAATTAAAATCCAACAAATCAAAATTACTTTGGGCAAGGTTATGAAGGCTTGGAAAGTTTCTAAACTTTTATAGGTCAGCTTTTACTGTTTCCTGCAAGTCCAAAGATTAAAATTAATCCAGACTTACTTCTTGTCTGCAGTTTGAAGGTTGTACAAAGGCCTACTCCAGGCTAGAAAACTTGAAAACGCACTTGAGATCTCACACTGGAGAGAAACCATATGTGTGTGAACACGAAGGCTGCAACAAAGCTTTCTCCAACGCATCCGACAGGGCCAAGCACCAAAACAGGACTCATTCCAACGAGGTAAGTAAGCATAGCTTCAAAAAAAAAAAAAAATCCAGAGTCAAACAGAGTTAAAATGTGATCATAGCAATTTATTACAGAGGGCAGACACAGAAACCCTCAGCAACCTGAAAAGGATAAGTTCTAGATGGGTCTTATGAGCGCAGTCATTCCAGTGTCATATGGACCTAAAGAGGCTGTGGGTCATTTTATTAAGTGTAACAGAGGTTTGAAGGAGGGGTCTAATGGAAACACGCACGTTAACCAGGGACAGATCCGAGCTAAAACGCTGGGATCATTTTTCCCTCCGGAGCTGAAGGGGCTGGTCCAGCGCCCAGAGCGCGTCCCCTTGCCTGGGTCGGTGGTGACACCTGGCGGCTGCCGAGCCGCAGCTCCCGCGGCGTCTTGCAGCATCCTTTTGGCTGCTGCGGACAGCTATAGGGACGTGTCCAGGGTTTGGAAAATTTGGGTTGCCCTATAAGGCCTGAGTTATGCCTTTTCCTTCCTCTCTGGGCTATGTCACTCTTCCTTCTGTCCTGAACAGACTGCACAGAGTAGCGATGCAGTGGAGGGAATTTAATCTTTCTCAAGCAAACCGGCTGTGGTTTGCAGTGACGGTAGTCACAGCCATCTCCCAAACTGTCAGTGTAACACCTCTTTATTATTGTGTTTCCCATTATTGCTGCCTCCTCTTTCAGGAGTCACACCATCTTCATGTCATGGCCCTGTTTTATTGTCCCATTTCAGGTTACATGGGGAGTCACATCATCTCAGTATCACATCTTGGGGGAGCCCTGTCTCTCCTCCTCGACTTGTCTCTATACTCCTTCTAGCCTAAAGCCAAAAATACTGGAAGGGCGGGACATACCAGCATGCTGTGTGGTTTGGACACCAGAGCAGGTGTATACATTTCCACATGGCATGTATCCTTCTCTGTCTGTAAGGTCTGTCATGGGCATTCACTAGGGCTGGCAGAATCTCCTGGGAGCATTCATCTTCTTCCAGTCCCCTGGTCCCTGCAGCATCTCTTGAGTCACAAGGGAAGCAGAGAGCATTGCACGTCTCTGAGTTCACCCCGTCCCTGCAGTGTGTGCTCTCAGCAGCCCAACAACTGCATTGAAGCCCAGAAACAATTTTGTGAATTGTCACCAAGGTAGAAAGAAGTTCGTCAAAGTCTCGCCAATAGCTGACTGAGCTTTGGTTTCATTCACTCTGTGAACCGATCAGTTTGTTGCCTGGTTGATGAGTAAAATCCTCACAAACTTGCAGACATGACCTGGACTCCCTGTTGTTTTAAGATCAGGATTTCATGTCTAACAGTAGGTCACCAAAAAAAATTTTCTACTGTGCATCATTTCTGCTGGTTGCAGCAGCAAAGTCAAATGAAAAATTTCCTTCACTGTTATTTCACAATGAAATGGGCTAATACTCTTAGGCAGTGTATACTGACGTAGTGCCATGAATACTGTGGAAGGCACAGACCCAATTCAGCACTTCCTCGCAGTGCCATTTTGGTTGTAAGTAGGTAACCTACAGACACGTTTAAAAGCAGCTGAGATATCTTGGTACAGATCTGCCCTATACATATGTAGAAGAGAGCTAATTGATTTATATTTCCATAGCATCTTGAGAAAGCCTGCCTCAGTGGCTCAGCATCAACTTTAAATTGCTAACAATTGACATTTTTGCTTCTATTCAAGTCAAGGGGAGTTTCT